GGAAGACGGCACGTAGATCCTGATGCTGAGGCTGAGCCAGAGCCTGACGGCAGGACACGACTTGTGTTCCGTGGGGTGCCGTTCTCCATTTTAATGCAGAGCGCTCTGCCCGAGGATGGGGGGAGGGGGAATGAGGACAGCAAAGTACACCCGGGAGATCCTCTTTGCACGTTTCAAGTCACACCTTCTGCCCTCTGCATTTAACCCAAAAAATGAAGACTTTACCATCCGGCAGCATCCAATCGCTGATGCTACTCTGTCGGCCGCTGGGCTCATAGGGCTGGCAAGGTCAAACTCATCTTGATTACTTCTCAGGAGCTAATTTACCTACTCAGTTCAAGAAAACACAGAGCCCTTCTTCTCGTGGCAAAGTACAACCGGGTTAATTCAAACACATTCGGTTTCCATAGTGAATCTTTCAAACGGTAAGGTTGTTAATGTGTGGATATTCTTGGAAACAAGCCTTCAAAAAATCACATTTTTTAAAGGTTTAATTCCTTTGTTTTTTTTTTGCTTTTCCTTGGAACACCATATTTTATGGGCATTTGAATATGTTTGGCCACGGAGCAAATATTCTGTTTCTTTGAATTTTATTTGAATTTATTTATGCTTGTGAGTCACACTGACAAATATTAAAGCAAAAGGCCAATCACAGAGAAGGCCTTTCATAGGTTTCCTGGACGTATGTCACTGAAAATCGATACTTCCAAATGGATACTAAACTGCAACCCTGTACAGGATAAGAGGGATGGATGGAAGGATGGATGGATATTTCTACTGAAGCAATTCATGTTAATAATGTCACTGAAAGGTGACACAGCAGGATTGAGACAAGACTCAAATCGACAATTTCTGGGTCCAGGTTCCAAGTGCACAAACCAATACTGTCCTGGGATGACGCGTGTAAGCCTTGACCCAAATGCAAGGGACAAGGACACTCGAGTTGGAAGGGAATAACTTGGGGGGGGGGGGGTTATCAAGGGAAAGAGAAAATCCTCTTAGGCATATACTTAAAAAGAAATAGCCTTGTACAACCCCAGTAGTGTGCAATATCAGACTGTGTTACTGCTAAGAGAAGCATGATGGGCAGTAAGTAGACCATCACTACTGCTCTGGATTCTCAAACAGTCTTCATGGAATTGTTTTTATGTGTTTGACAATAAACTGCTTCCCACAGGCCACCACTGCATCCCTTACACCCAGCACCCCCACGACACTTCATACTAACAGCTAATAGCACCTAACCTAAAGCCCAGCCGGTAACCAGCTAATGTAGTATACTAACACCCATATCTACTGGTAGAAAAGATGGGCCTGTTCAATCATGCCAGCTCAGCGCTAACCACGTCGTAAAATGATTACAGTTATTTTCATAACGAAACTCTTTAGCTTCCAAAAAAAGGGGAAGCCAGTTTCACAAGCACAGCCATGTCATTAACACGAGTCGGCAGCCAATTACGGAGGTTGTGCCAAACAAGAAAAACGCTCATTTTACAGCAGAGTGCCCCTTTTGATAGCTTTCCGTCAGAAATCAGTCTCACTTTCACTGTTTGGACATGAGATTCCCAGACTCTCTGACAGGACACAGCACCTACCTGGACACAATGTCAATGCAGTCATTGTGTCGATGTGCCAATACAGCTAACAGATGGCTAACGGGAAAGCTAACGAATGGTATAACAGAACAGTGAAAGGTTCAGCTCAGGGCATGGACAGTGGGACAGCAATTAGAATAGCAACAGTGCAGATATAGGCATGGCTAATCAGACGCCCAGCTAACAGGATGGATAACAGAACAGTGAAAGGTACAGTTCAGGGCATGGATAGCGGTACAGCTATCGGAATAGCAACAGAAAGGCTAAGGGCATGGCTAATCAGACGTCCAGCTAAACAGATGGCTAACAATGGCTAAGGGCATGGCTAATCAGACGCCCAGCTAAAAAGACGGCTAACAGAACGACTAACAGCATGGCTAATCAGACGCCCAGCTAAAAGGATGGCTAACAGAACAGCTAAGGGCATGGCTAATCAGACGCCCAGCTAAAAGGATGGCTAACAGAACAGCTAAGGGCATGGCTAATCAGACGCCCAGCTAAAAGGATGGCTAACAGAACAGCTAAGGGCATGGCTAATCAGACACCCAGCTAAAAGGATGGCTAACAGAACAGCTAAGGGCAAGGCTAATCAGACGTCCAGCTAACAGGATGGCTAACAGAACAGCTAAGGGCATGGCGAATCAGACGCCCATCTGAAAGGACGGATAACAGAACAGCTAAGGGCATGGCGAATCAGACGCCCATCTGAAAGGACGGATAACAGAACAGCTAAGGGCAAGGCTAATCAGACGTCCAGCTAACAGGATGGCTAACAGAATAGCTAAGGGCATGGCTAATCAGACGTCCAGCTAACAGAACAGTTAAAAATATAGCTAAGGCTGGCTAATTTCACATGTAGGAAGATGAGCTAGGAAAGAAGGTGTCAGCCTCATAACGATTTCAGCCAAGTTCCCACATGACTCATCCTACCAGGACCCACGCACCTAAACTCCCACATACACACCTATAACACGCCCATCCATCACCTATACAAATGGTCACACATATAAGGCACAGGAAACCCACCACACACACACACACACAAACACACAAACACACACAAACACACAAACAAAGACAATCCCTATCCACATAGAGAACCACCATGACCACACAAAATCTCCAATGTAATCCATGCTTACAGCTAACATAAAAACTAGTAATCCTTCCTTTATATGAAATATCAAACCCCAGAACTGATTAACATATCCTTTGTTCCTGTTACTTTTACCACAGGTCTGAAATTTGTTAAAAAAAAAAAAAAAAAAAAACATACTAAGCAAATATCTTTGAAAAAATTATTATAAAGATTTATCAGACCACGCATTTTAAGTACAACACTTGTTAAACAAAACGCCAAATTCGTATTGAGGAAACGTAGTACACAACAAAAATATTGTTACATTAACAGTTAGCCTACTTCATTTATACTTTATGAAATGATATACATCTAGATTTTCGGTATCTTCCTTGAAGGAACTTTTTTTATTCTTCGTAGCAGATATTATGTAACTGCTGCCTCAGAGGTGGGGCCGTTTCCTCTGTAGTCCACCTAAAGTATGGTCAGGGCGCGGTCAAGAGCTGGTATCTGACATGCTCAGCAGCCAACTACGGACAGAGCCACTGGCCCACCCCCCTCTAACTGCCAGCCTATCACAGGCTGTGTCTAAATAAATAAATAAATAAAATAACACTGCATCATATCTACGGACAGACAGGAAAATGTGTCAGCGATACAGAATCCGCAATCCGGATTATCTGCAGACGTTTAGGCCTAAAAATTCATCTGTTCTTTGTATGGCTGACAGGGTTACCGGTCCGTTCTCCTCCACCTGATTAAAAATCCAACCATGGCTTCCTTAGATACCATTTATTAAAAATTAACATAAGTAAGGACTGAGAATCTACTAGAGTCTGTAATCTGACTGCAAAGTGTTCAAAGGGGAGGTAGAAATAGAGATTTTGACCCTGAGATGCAAAGCTGGGGTTTGAAGAGTCAGAGACCACGAGACCCAGTAGAGGGAACTCCTAGCCTGGCAGATTCTCCCTCTAAATCTCTCTCCATCTCTCTCTCGTTCTCTCCCTTGTTCACTCTGTGAGCCCACATCCCACCTCAAAGCTTCACCGCTTCTGCTCCACAGAAAATGTGCCGGGCCTTTTTAACTGTACTTGTTTCACCAGGTGAATTTTAAAATCCGAAGAGCGAGCGTTGGTTCGATGCGCAGCCCAAAATGCGGTTTCCATTCCCCCTCATTCCGTTTCGGTTCGCATCCACGCATGTTTGGTGCAGCCATTTTCGCGAGGCTAGAAAGTTAAAGCCACACGCTGGCATTTCCCCTCTTCGCTGCATGACAGAGTTAAAAATGAACGATTTGAAAGGAGACCTCTGGGGTGTATTTACATTCTAACAATGAGGTGGACTTCCTCAGTCCGTGAGGTACTCAGGCCATGAGAGGGACAGCGGTAGGCCGGATAAACAGCAACCCAAACAGAGAGAAGATCCACAGGACCGCAGCTAGGACCAACAGCAAAACAAGGAAGGGTTGGTTGAACAGACTCACCACTCTACCCTATTAAACCTAAAGGATCTCGGAAAATAACCCAAAAAGAAAAATGCTTTCTGGTCAAGTATTCTCATGTGTCTAACATGTAAGAGCTTAACATGGACCATCTCATGCTGCGTGTGCTCAGAATATCCACAATCTTCATTCTCACATCCACAAATTTTGCGCAATAAACCATTTAAAAAAATGAGTTTCCTCCCAAACAAATCAGGAAGAGATTTTTATGGTAGAGCAGACCCTTTCGGTTTTTTTGTTACTCTCGGGAATTTGGTATGTGAGAACACCGCTGTTTGCAGCAGTTCGGACAAGGTCTGAGGAAGCAAACCCACAATGACAAGCCCGTCCACCACTCAGCCGCAATTTCAAATGTGGGCGCAGGGTGGATCCAGGATCCACCTACACGTCGCCTTACATGCAAAACTCAACGATCAAAAAGAAAAAAAAACGACTACATAGCGATTGGTGTTATGTTTTTTTTCTCGCTTGGGGAATCCTGCAGCTATCTGCACAGTGGCTGCTGTCTGTGCTGCCTGGCCGCCCGCCAGCTGCGTGACCCGGCAGCTGCTGCACCCTCAGCCCGGGGATTTTGTCAAAGCATTTGGAGTTGAATCCACACGGGCAAAGTCATTGCGGGGAAAGTCAGACCCCCCTCCTCTCCCCTCCCCTCCCTACCACCATGAAACTAACAGCTATAGTGCATACAAAGCCACCCACGGGGGGTAACAGGGACATAATAGGTTCAAAGGGTTATTTAGGCTTATTTCCCCCTGCTAGCTGCGCAGGCGAGCTGCCCGTATCGGTGCCCCGCTCTCCCCTCACTTTCCCGGCACTTTCACTTTACCTGTAGGACGTCTGCTTCCGAAACACCAGACCCTTCAGCTTCTCCTCCACGGACTCGTCCGTGTCGTTAAAGCTTCCCAGAGTGTCCCCGCCGGCCATGGCTTCGTCCCTGCCGCGGTTCCGCTCGCTCGTCTCCCCGCCAGTGGCCCCTAGCGAGGCGGCTCTATTATTCCCATACGCCTGGGAGCCCCTCTCCTCCTGTGAAGGGCAAGGCTTGGCCAGGGGGTCCATGCTTTAGCAGTGGACCCCCTTCCTCCTGTGTGCCCCTTGCTTTCCCTCCCCAAGAAGCGGCAGCGACGGTGAAGCTGCTGCCGGCGGGGGACGGTAGCGGCGCGCCCGGGGCTGCTCTCGCCGGCCGCGCCGCACGGTCACATGCACAGCAGACCTGCCGGACAGAAGGAAACGGCCGACTGGAAATGGTAGCACAAGCCGTCGCGATGGTGGCCAGCCACAGCCGCGGCAACAGGAGCATCCATCTCCGGCGCCGCCGCTACAAGGGCATTGTGGGATACTCCTACCGCGAGCTCAGCATCGGCGTGGATACAGTGGGGCGCGCGGGGCTTCCTGACGCTCTGCGCGCGCACGCACAGCGCTCCACACCGTGACCCAGTGCGATACGGGCCGCCCCAAAGCTCCGCTACGCCTTCCTCTGCCGAGATTGCTCCGCAGGACTGCTGCTAGCTCTGGACAGGGCTGCCTGCTTCTTCGCTGCGTGCCACGTATATCCGTGCACACCGACGGACCTCCAGAAGCCCAGTGCGTAAGAGTCACGCAGGTTATTAAGCATCGCCCATGGTACTTAGAAGAGCACAACTGGCTTTCCGACAATTGTTTTCGAGGTTATTCTTAAAATATACTGTAAATTGTAACCGGCATAGTCCACGGATTATTACATGTAATTTGCTCTCGATAATGTCTACCCCGTCTGTTCAACTGGATTGTGCAATATTTGTTTTATGTCAGATCATTCGTTCTGGGTGTGCATCCATTTTTTTGCCTTCCTCAAGTCAAGTGACACAACCGACCAACAGAAATGCACAGAAAGATCCGCCTCACATACCAAATTAGACATTTATGCCCCCAAGTCGAATGGACTCACAGAGACTCCATTCGACCGATGTCATGAGTGCAGATTTCAACTGAACAGATTTGACGTGTTCTGTGGCAGCGCCCCTGAGTTTCTGTACAGAGAACCCATTTCTGAAGCGAATTGAAAAGATTCCGAACTTAATCACTGGATTTTAACGCAATGGAAAGAGACAAGCCAAAACCTGGTCTCTGGAAGACGGGAGACATTCCTTGAAATCGACAGAGCTCAGAACAGGCCAGCGAGTGCTGGCTTGTCCTTGTCCCCGTACATCACAATTAAAAACGATTAAACCCTGTATTTGAATATATCCTCAGAGCCTTCAATGACTTGCAAGAGCTATACCCCAAACTGTTACAGCACACATTTATGTCCATCCTCATGATAATGGACGGACAACACACTCATGCATAAAAAAATGACATCACCACCAGAGGTGCTTTTACTAAGGAAAAATATTTATTTACTTCTGGAAAAAAAGAGGGAGAAAAAAACATAGCAAAGCAGAAGCCAGTGACAATTATATAGCAACAGGAGGCTTCTGAGGATCCACAAGTGACTGCGTGCGGTCCCCAGACTTCAAACGCAGTTTGTGCATTCGCACCGCCAGGACAGGGGTCCAAAGGCACCAATTTCCGATTTCCATAAGCAAAATAAAATAAAATGCTACATTTACAAAAGAAATAAATAAAGCATTAGGTAGGCAGTGCATGTCAATTCACAGCAGGATGCTTCCGGGGGTGGGGGGGTTATACAGTTATACACTGTAGAGAGAAACCAGGGTCGACCCCAATTTGTTGCTACTGTTAGCAGGGAGAAATTGAACTTCCCGTGGTGGGTGGGGCCGTTCACCATGCCCTCGTAACCCGAAGAAAGCTGCTAGACCGCCAAAGCAGAGAGATTCATGCGTCTGCTCGGCGGCACGTTATAACCGCTCGTTAGAGATTCGCATGGGCTGATTTAGCGAATCACTAGTGGTCATCGCCACAAAGGGATGAGCACATTAGCCAACTTACATGCGCACTTAAGAAGCATTCAAAACAAAATAAAGAACAAAAATGTGAAGAAATGGCACATACCACACTTCGCTATCAATTTGGTAATACCAGTTGTTGTTTTTTTTCCCTATCCACATAAGAATGAAACAGGCACGATAAAAGCTCTAAGTCCGGAAGGTGAGAAACCAGACCAGAGCCTTTCAGCACTTGTCCGTCATTCGATTGGATATTATAAATGAACCAGAACATCCACATGGTCATGTGACTTTACCGAAAAACTGGCATACATAGCCACAGTCACCATAAACCCAAAAAATACTAAGACTGCGCTGGAGGTCCAGTGAAAATGAGCATTTTTATACTACTTTTCAAAAAAAAAAAAGCTTTGCAATGGTCCACTTGGGATATTCAATAAGAGATTCAGTGTGTATCAAGTCTGTATATTACTTGGAGGGCAGGGGTCTTTGGTGTCATCTACAACCCTTGTAGAACAAAAACAAACAGAATTAAACACAGCATGTGGGATTCGAGCCCGCTGACTTTCTGGAAGAGCAGCAGTCCTTCTCTCGTGGATTGGGGCGGCTTCCATCGAAAGCTCCGCAAATCAAAAAGGGCAGAATCTACCCTCGTCGAGATCACTCTCCAAAAGTCAGGGTGGAGTCCTCAATACGTCAAGCAGGGTAGATGTTTAGTATAACTACCCTGTGAATTAAAAAGGTTCCCTTCCTCTTCAAAATGGGAGAAGAGTGGAAAAAATATTATATGCATATATACTAAAAACAGAGAACTAAGCAGTTATACAGGCTGCCGTCTAATGTTGGAATGGAATAAAATACACATTAAGAGTAGCTACGCATGTAGAGCGTGATTCAAAGAGAATGTATAAATAAGGTGAGTTGTAAGCATCTGGTACTGCGGTGGGTGTGGTTTGGGGTGGGGAGGGGCCAGATGGACCTCAGGACGTCTCATTCACTGTCCTCTCCAGCTGTATGACTTTGGTGCTGCCGTTCTCCCGCCGCTCCAGCGACCTGTGGGCAGATGGACACAGCTCCTTTCACACCCCCGAGTACAGGAATCAGCCGGGTACCGCGGTCACCTTCTCATTAGAGACTTCCCTACCCTCCGAAAATCTGTCTGCACACCATCCATAATTATCATAGGCCTCACTTAGGCACTAGTTATTCATTACACTAACTTTTAAGTCTGCAAAAAACATTAAATGCTGCCTCTGGGTAATATGCACCACGCAGGACTGTGCGGAATCAATAATCATGTCTCCTTATCACACAAAGGTCCTTCTTTATACAGTTGCACTGCTTGGTCGTGTGGACCAATGGTTTGTACCGGCTCCTCACCTGTGCGGGTGCAGGTCTATGAGGATTGGCTCCTGGCCATGTGTGTCATTGGTGTGGACGAATGGCTCCAGGGGGCGGAGCTCCGCTCTGTGCCTCTCTGCCTCCTCCACCTGCTGCTGTTGCTTCTGCTGGGCCCGCCAGCTCGCCATAATATCCATCTGTCTGTCCCAGTGCTCGGGGTAATCCCCTGCTAGCCCGGAGGGGGCCTCGTCCAGGGCGCTGTGCTCCTCATAGCCCAGCAGGTTTCTGGATTTCACTGTGGATAGAGACGGCGATCCACATCATCACGCCACCTAGCGATGCCTTCTACCCAGAGCAACATTCACAAAGCGCATTCTTTGTTCTGGCCACTCCTGATTAGCCCCTGTGTCTCACGGCCCACAAAGACCCCGACTGCACGGCACACGCCCAGGGAGACAGTGCGGCGGTAAACGGGGTCTACGTGGAGGCCTTGCGATCGCGGCGACGATAATCGCACAAAATGACAGATAATGACTTTCGAGAGCAAACACTCCAGCGCCCGTCGGTAGTTAATTGCAAGCCTATTCATTTATTTATGAGCTAGAAGCTGTCCTCTTTGCCACCATTGCTAAAGCGATTTCAGGAGAGGGAGGGGGTAGTGCAGAGACAGGGGTGCTGTGATGTATTCATACACGCTCCCCTAACTCAATGCTTGCTCAGAAGCTGCCATCCCTCTCACTTATAGGTGGAAATGAAAAAGGAAGGAAAAAAAATTTAAAAATGAGTCAGACAGCCTCGCTGCCACAATCTCAGCCAGGGTTTTGGGGGGGGGGTGAGACAGTAGGCCTCAACTCTGTCCTCAGGGGAAGGTGAAGGACAAAAGCACATCAGAAGCCTGGTTAGGGGTGCTGCGTGACTGTGTCACAGTTTTGTCCCAGATTTTTAGGGGGGGGGTCGGTAGTCAGGACAATGGAGTCCGTCTGCATACCGAAACTGCGTGGTTAGGGGGAATGAGACCGAAAGGTATCGCTTACAGAAGAGGTCCGATTTCAGCACAGCAGACAAGTCAGGGTCGCTGCTTTTAATGCACAGCCGCCCCCGATGGAAACCATGCAAAGCGATTCCACGCCTATTCAAATCTGAGTGCTAACCTCTGAAGGACGCAGTCTCTCCCACGCTCTGACTCGAGGGCTTTCAAACGCTTCATTTGCATAATAAGTAGCTATTGTCTCATTAAAATGGTTAACACAACACATAGGTGATAATCAATCAATCACTTACTTCCCACACCGGAAGCATCTGTCCTGTTGCATGTCATTGCCTGACATTTTTATAAACAGATGGAGCTCGATTGCCAGCCTATGGTCAGTTTCTCTGTATCTGAGCAGAGATGGGTTCAAACCCCCACCCCACCCGACCCCACCCTTCAGGTCTCTCACCTGTGGCTGTGTAGGACTCCTGTATGCTGAGGTCTCTGGACAGGCCCGTGCTGGTAATGGAGGAGCAGGGACCCAGGCCCTGGTAGAAGCTGCCCAGGAAGACGGCAAAACAGAGGCCCAGTACCTGCACCAGACAGGGCGGTAAGACAGCTGAGCCAGATCAGCACTCACTCACCTCAGGACACCTTATCCTTGTGTAACCCGACAGATGCACACAACAAAGTTCCCTCTCCCTCCCACATACAGGGTTGCCAGCTTTGGTCAGCTGGCTGGCGTGAGATTTTCAATTCGAGACAAGTCTGCACAGCAAGTTTTATTACACTGTAAATAGTCTGTAGGGTTTGCAAACTACAACAATGCTTTTGATTTAGCTAATTTTAGGTTGATAATGGAATAATACAGATTCGCTGTAAGATTTCTTGCGTGAATGTGAGAGTCAGAAAGCCTGAATGTCACGACGTTGGCAACCCTGCACACAGACACACACTAGTGAATTCTACGTGCTACACCCAGATGATGCAAAGAAATCATATAAAAAGTCTCTCTCCCTCTCTTCTCTACGAGGACAGAAAATTATCAAAAAAAACTTGGATGTTTTGCTCCTGTTTTTAAAAAAACTCTTAGTCGCTGAAGAGAGTCGACTTGATTCTTCTTGCGTGCTGTATTCGCTCTGCCGTGCGTCTGTCATCTGCCTGGTACTCACCATCAGGCAGGTGGACGTCTGTGTGCCCGTCACCCTGCAGGAGCGGGGGACCTTCCCGGCCACCACAGCCTGGAGGGAGTGCAGCTGCTGCAGCAGAGACCTGGGGGTGGGGGGGGGAGGTGGGGCCACTGTCAGAGCAGGACTCTGCATGTACAGTCACAGCGCACACGCAGCCAGTCACCCAACAGGAATTCCATGCTGTCATTACACGCCGCCTGTCCAAAGATGGCCGCAGTCTGCTGCACACTCTGTTCTCCTCCATGTCCCTCTTGCTCCCTAACAGACACATCACCTACTGATCCACTCCGTGGGCGTATGGCAAAGCCTCTCTACCATCAATCTGCGGACGCCTGAAGATTATGCCAGTAGGGTCTAAGTGCAAATCTTTCCATGTGGACCAGCAGGAGGCAGCACGGTTAAGGTTCAGAACCCTGGGAGAGCTGCTGCTGTTCATTTAATAAATTTACCCATAAAGATTAAGATGCAATTT